GATGCACTTTTCGCGCGTATTAGTGGACATACATTTTTTGTTGACAATGATCAAAAATCTATTTGTTAAGTTGTAAATTAAATAGTTCGGAAAACTTTTGACAATAGTTTTCGAGTTAAAATGAATAAAAAAATCAGCAGATATGTATAGAAACTGTAATTTTTACTTCTATATATCAAATCTATCGAATCCATATTTCTTTTAAACAAAAAAAAATGATTACTTGCTGAATGTCATATTTAATGTCTTTCTATACGTATAATATTTAGCAATATAATTTTCCATTGAATGAACTTTTCCTATAAAGACAATATATCTCTTGAGACATCAAATGAATTGGAAGTAATAAAATGTGTCTTGTTTAAAGAAATATGAGTTGCATATAAATAAGAGACTATTTCGAAATTAATTATTCAACATACAGTAATAGTATAAGATATGTTTCCATCTGATATGTTTGAAGAGCCAAGTAAGTCTTCAAAGTATGTTATACTGATGAGATAGATTTAAAAAACGATACTCTTTTGATTTGAATATGATCGTGGACTTTTATGAAGAAAATTTGTAATCAAGGCATTTCTTATTGATTATTATATACAAACAATTACATAATACTTCTTACAGAGTTGTAAACTATGTTCGTTATATATATTGATTAAATTAAAACCATAAAATCTCTTGTGAAAACAAATAGATACAAAAACTGTCGAACAATATTCTGTTATTTATTAAAAATAAATGAAGAAAAAGCTTATAGTAGAGAGAGAAAAAACGAACGATGACACATCATATCATTAAGAATGTTACTTATACAAAACCATTTCTTCGTCATGACTATAATTCGGTAATTTAAAATAAATTGTTCTCTCTTTACATATATGCACTAGAATTCGATACTTTCATGAGAAACAGTTAGAAGTATTACGTATTCACGTTAATTTTTTAATTAATAAATCATTCAATAAGCTTCCTGTTATTAATATGTTTAGAGAATCAATAGACAACTTTGTGTAACTATTTTTATATTAAAATTAATTAAAAAATGATTGAACTGTAATTATGTTTTTCCTCCGAACAGACTTAGTACTTGATGTTTTTCTACTTAAAATCTATATATTTAACTTGACAAGTTTATTTACTTTTTATAGGACAAAAAAAAAACTTGAGAATATACTCGAGGACCATTCTTCGTAAGTGTTAAACTAATAATATTGAGAAGAATAAACGCCTGTATCTCGATTACTATCTATCATCAGAATAAATATAAACATCTTAATAGTAATATAGTTTATTTGATTGAATAGAAAAAGCTTTCATTTGATAAAAGTTATTTATTACAATTATATCATTCATATAAATCTATGAATTAGCAGAGAGACATGCAGGGTGAGAATGCTGTTTTATTATCTAACTTTTTCATTCTAGAAATTGTGCATAGCATTGTCTATTAAATATAATAAAAATATACATATCTGTGAAGTAGAACAATTATCGAATTATTCCTATCTTTAGTCATATATATATATTGTATTACTTCGTCTTCTTCTTGTTACTGTCATTAACAATCATAGATAAATTTTATATTTACACAATAAATAATAAAGCATATGAAATCTTCCTCTACTAGAATCTTTTTTTCTCTTCTTTTAATTTATTGTATGATTGTCGGTCATTTCCTTTCGGTATGCTAATATCCTTTTTTAAGCTATTTTCTTTATATTCTTGTCATTGTAGAAAAAAAGAATATGTAAGATCTGACAATATGATGTCACTAACTCTTATTGACCATGCTTGTGTTTTATTGACGACAAAAAAAGATATGTAACGTAGGAGAAAAAAGTAGTTAAGGAAGAAAGGAGCAATGCATGTATCAGTTGATCATGATCTTGATCAGATAAATACATTTGTTCGTCTTTCTATCAACAATATTGAATAAAAATTATTACACCGATGTCCTCCTAGTGTCACAAAGTGTAACGCTTTTCTTGTTGTTTCTTCTCTATGAAAAATGAAGAGAATAGTTTACTATGTTCAAGAGTTAAGTTCTGTAGAATTGATTTGATTATAGAGATTAATACATTTGATCATTATAAATTAGATAGAACCAATAAAACTAGAATACGTTTAAAAAAAACAGCATATTTATTCGATAGTATTAAATTCAGATATTATCATGATAATTGATTGCATTTCATAAAATATTATTTATTAGAAAAAAAAAATGGGTGAGAAAAATAATTTTTTGTTTATAGTAAGGTGTTATTCTGTCTTTCATTAATCCGCTCAGTATCTAAATCAACTAGAATAAACTACTTGTTTCGGTTTATTTTCTATTTTATCATGTGTATAATTTTCTTCTTTTATTTTATGCGTAAAAATATTTCTAAGAAGGATTTGCTCCTCTTTTAAACTATTTTCAAGGTCTTAAAAAAAGTTTTTCTTTTTTTTCTTATTCTATAAGACTTATATTAAGAAAACTTTCTATTAATTTTCAGTACTTTTTTCCATGGTTCCTTCTCGACATAGTTCATCAAATGATGTATTTTCGAATGATCACGATGAACAACAACCATTTACAGGATCAATAGTACCGACAATGCCAACACCATCACGTTTAACTCGTCGATCATCTATATCGGCTATATTTGATGATAATCGTCGTCGTGATGATATATTAATAAAAAGAACACGATCAAGTATACGTCGTTTATGGAAAAAATATGATGTTCCATATGTAATCGGAGAAGAAATTCAAGATTCAAAACGTACATTATGTGAAACAACATTAATTATATGTTCATGGTGTCTTATTGTACTTTTTTTTCCATTTTCACTTTTTGTTACATTGAAAATTATACAAGAATATGAACGTGCTGTTATATTCCGTTTAGGTCGTTTAAGTAGTAATTCAGTACGTGGTCCTGGCATCTTTTTAATTTTACCTTGTATTGATACAATTCATCTTGTTGATATGCGTACTGTTTCATTTGATGTTCCACCACAAGAAGTTTTAACACGTGATAGTGTAACAGTTGCTGTTGATGCTGTTGTTTATTATCGTGTTTTTAATCCAACTGTATCAGTTGCTAATGTTGAATATGCACAAGAATCAACACGTCTTTTAGCTCAAACATCATTACGAAATGTTCTTGGTACACGTCTTTTATCTGAATTATTATGTGATCGTGGTGCCGTATCAAAAGCAATGCGTGAATGTTTAGATGAAGCAACAGCAAATTGGGGTATTAAAGTTGAACGAGTTGAAATAAAAGATGTACGTTTACCAAAAATGTTACAACGTATAATGGCTGCTGAAGCTGAAGCAGCACGCGAAGCAAGAGCAAAAGTAATGGAAGACAAAAAAAAATATATTTATATAGAAAAATAAATCTTTTCTTTTAGATTATTGTTAGTGAAGGTGAATTTAAAGCATCACATGCATTGAAAGAAGCAGCTGATATTCTTTCACAATCACCATGTGCAATGCAATTACGTTATTTACAAACATTAAATGGTATTGCAACGGAACAAAATTCAACTATTGTATTTCCATTACCAGTTGATCTTTTTTCATTTTTTCAAAAATGTCCAGTAAATACAAATTCATTTCCATTAAAACCAACAACAACATCAATAAAACCAAATAATAATCTGACTACTACAGAAACACTTCTATCATCATCACAAATAGCAACAGATATTTGAGTAGAAATAAAAATGAAATCTATATGGAATATTTTTTTGTCTTGTTTATGTGTTTTTATCGACTATAAATGTATTTTGTTTTAGTGTTTAAAATATATGATGTAAGAAAAGATAAATCCATAGATATTTAATTTTTTAGACTTGTATGAATAAGAACAATCATTGACATCAGTATGTTCAACTAGGGTAGTATAGACATAATTGAAGAGAAATAAGAAGGTTATCATAATATGAAAATTTTTTTAAGAACTATTAAAATATATCAATATGATGAGAAGATTAAAAATAAAGAGAAAATCTCTGTCTAGTATTAACTTTAAATAATCTGATGAAAATTACTATAGAATATGTTGTCGTTTTGACATATTAATAATTCTGTTCATTAGTTTTACATATTATTTCGATTTCTACGTTCATCTTAGCCAAAATATGTTATTCGTTGTTTAACAAATAATTATTGGATACACCTATTCTTAAAAGTGTCGAATAGGCAGTAAACATTATCAAACCTATTTATTGACCTTATACAATCGATAAGTATCTTAATTATATATGAATGAAGTATTTGAAGGACATTATATTAGCTATGCATGTTACTTTTTTTCGTTTGTTTTTCTTTATTGTTTTTAATGGTAGTATAGTTATGTCTAATTATTCATTGAACTACTTTTATCGCTTGAATAAGAAGAAGAAAAAAAATGTCGATAAATAAATAATATAAAACATTTACATTCTGATAAATTTACCTTTTTTTATTACATGTAATAATGATGTAGTAAATTTAATTATCACATTGAAGTATACAAACGAAAACCATAATTTAAAAAAAATTGTTTTTTATATTTATTGAAAGTATTATTTTCTAAATTCTTTTATAAAAAAAATATATATATGTATATAAAACCAAAATATACATTTTTTTGTTTCTATTTGCACATATTTTTTTTTCGTTCTTCTCAACAACAAAACAATTATGCATCACCAATCACCGTAACATTGATTTCATTGCGTTTCGTTTATTTACAAATCAACCTTGTAATTTGTCTTTATTAATATGTAAAACAAGTCTCGATTCATAAAATCAATAACAAACTTCGTTTAGTATTAAGAATATCTTCAATGATAGTGAAAGCAGCTAATTTAATTGCCATTCAACATGATAGAATCCATGATAAACTTTCATCTACTGATATCTGTACGATGTTCAATCAATTTCTTGTCGAATTTGAACGAATGGAAAAAGGTGATAATGCAACAACAAAATTATTTTTAGATGCCGTAGAAGATATTGTCGATGCTGTTCTATCAATATTACCCTATAAATTACTTGATCCAAAAGTTCTTAATCATCCACTTATGCATTTTATACAACAATTATTTATGACTATATTAGATAATTGGTGTGTATCACATTTAAGAATAAATATACAAGAAACAGATATACTTCTTAAGATTGTACTTATTTTTGTACATATTGCTGAACAAGCATTTATACCTAATATTAATGAAAATGAAAAAACAAAAAATGAATTATTAGCTACAAAACAATTATTATTTAAAGTACGAGAACAAGTTGATTCTATTATTTTGAATAAAGAGAATTCGGATGATGATCCAAATATATGGGCAGTAGGTTTACTCACTATTAAATTATTACAAGGATCGCCATTTTATTATACATTGGGAAGAAATCATCGTTTAATTAATGATTGTAAGTTTCATTTTTTCTTAAAATACAACTATGTCTATAGTTAGAATGATTTCTTATATCATTTAGTAATAATGAATAGTCTTGATTCATATGATTATAGACAAATCATGCTACAATTACAGCATGGTCAACCACTTAATGATATTGACTCTTATCTTTTTGCTACTTGTTGGCAATATCTCTCTTCTACATCTTTAACTAAACAAAATTCCTCAGCACAACCAAATCCGATCGATCTTATTCATTATCTTTCCGATGAACTTTTAATACGATTAGAACATGCTATTGATGAACTATTGTCCATTGCACCTCCATCTCTTGCATATGTTTTCGAGCGGTGTCATCAACTTATCAATATTCATAATCTTCAGTCGTTTGATAAACATGCACAATATATGATCGATCGTCTAATTAATATTCTACAAGAACAACTATCAACTAATCCGCAAGATCAAGAATTAATCAATGTTACATTAGAAGCATTTCATAATCTATCCAAAAATACTGATATTCGTACAATTATGAAAAATCGTCAATTAACTTCAATCTTTTACAATTATATATCCACTGAAAATGCTGAACAACAGAAGTTAGGACTTAGTATTCTTGCAGAAATTATGGATGAAAAAGAAATAAATGAAAAACCAAATGAAATTACTAGTGTATTTATTGATCATCTCAAACAACTTAATCTAAATGAGTACGATCCAAATATGGATAGTACTCTTGCAAGTCTTAAAGGTATCATTTTCTTTTCAATAATAAAAAAATTATTGATCATGCAAACTGTTTTCATTTTATAGTATTAATGCAACATGAACAAATCAAAAATAGATTTGTTCAACAAAATGGTCTAAATATATTAGTTTCTTTCATCCGTGATGGTGATTCAAGCAAACAATCTGATAAACAACAAGAAAAAGCTCTCAAAATTCTTTGGTTAAATACCTTCAATAATCTTCATGTTATAAATATGCTTCAACAAGATTTGAAACTAATGACACGAGTAAATGATATCTATCATCATGCAACAGAATATGGAAATATGACATTAGAAAAAGCAGCTGAAGGATTGATTTGGAAAGTTGAAGAAGAAGAGAAATTTAAAAAACAACAAGATGCTGAAGCTGAACGAAAAAGAGAAGAGAAAAAACAGAAAGCGAAAGAAAGTGGTGTAGAAGAAGAAGAAGAGGAAGAACAATATGATCTAATGATATCATATTCATGGGCTGATATGGACTTAGCTCATCGTATTTTTCATCATTTAACTGACAAACTAGGCTATACAATATGGCTTGGTCAAGAACAAATGCATGGATCAACGATTCAAGCAATGGTATGAAATAATAAATTTTACGATTATATATGTATATGTTGCGGTCAAAACTGGAATCCGGTCAAATTCTAAACTCATCGGGATAAAAATAGAATGAGACTAACAGTGAAGATATGCATTTTCGTATCATTCACTTACATCTGTCCTATAGCGAACGCAGTCGCCATTTTAAAGATAGAAGAGTTCTTTGCTTGACTAAGTATTATTCTAAGCTAGGATCTTGAGAAATTAGGGGGTAAATAGGTTAGGCAAAGAAGTTGTAATTTGTTTGATAAAAAAATTGTAAAATCTGAGGAGATATAGCATCGACGTTACTCATAAAGTTCCGTGAAGCTCCATAAAGTCTTTTAAATATCTCTAAAATTTGAGCGAATTCCAATTTTGATTGCAACATAAATATCGATCGTATTTGTATACTTTAGGCAAATGCAGTCGATAATGCTCAGTTTATTCTTATGTGTATGTCAGACACATATAAACGAAGTGCAAATTGTCAATCAGAAGCTGAATATGCATTTAATCGTAAAAAACATATCGTACCATGTAAAATGAAAAAAGATTATAACCCTGATGGATGGTTAGGTTTTATATTGGGTACACGATTGTATATTGATTTTGGATCATTTGAATTTGAAAAGGCAATTGAACTACTTGATAATGAAATTCAATTACAAAAGAAAAAGCGTAAAGAAGCAAGAGAAATGGCGAGGTAATACGAAAGATTTGTATTCCTATAAATTGTGAATATTAATTTTAGATTAGAAAAAAAGCTGGAAGTCGAAATAGATAATACAAAAGAAGATGATATCAAAGAAGATGATATTAAAGAAAATGATATTAAAGAAGATGATGCTACTACTACAGAAAATGATGTCAAAGAAGAATCCCAAAGTGATGATAATAAAAGTGAAGAAACGATAGATATGGATAATGTTTCAAGTTGGAGTGAATCTGTTGTACGAAGATTTCTTAAGGAAAAAGATCTAACGGATTTTTTACCACTATGTGCTGGGATCAATGGTCAAGAACTAAGTGAATTGTATGTAATGTGTAAGATGAATTCTGTATCAATGTATCGTTGCTTAAAATCTGAACTTCTTAAAATTCACGATAAAGTTTTATTAATTTCTACGTTTCTTCATTTTATCGAACGTTTACGTGCTGTTTGTGATCGTGGTTTACCTTTAGATGCATGCATTTGTAATAATAATTTAGAAGAATGTTTAGATGATGCTGATTAACTTTTGCTATATTTTGCTGTAATTTAGTAGTTCATAAATTAAACTTTTTTATTTTATACGCTTTTAATAAATAGAAACTTGTATTATTGATACTACGGAATCGCATGAATTGTGATTTTTTTTGCGAACTTTCTTGTATGTAAAAAAAACGAAAGATTTTGAAAATTAAATAGATTATTTTTTTTATTATCAAAAGAATTTTGTTAAATTAATCACTGTGATTACTTAGCAAGAAACTGTAGAAATCTTATGCAGAAAAGCTTTTATAATGTAGGATATAAATACAAACTGCATTAATAAATTGTTGTTCAAGAAATAGAGAAAGATATTTGTCTTTAAAAACTAAACAGGGAAATTTGTCATAAGTTATATACTTATATAGAAGATTCAGATGAAATTGGGTAGCAATTAAAATGCAAATTTATTAGATTCTATATATATAGTATATACATTGGTGTTGTCAGATGCTTAACTTGGAGATTGGCCGTAGAAAAGTAGAAAAAAAAAATATCAAAAATTTCAAATAATTGTGCTGTCAGTATGTTTGGTGCACTATCTTCAAAGAAACAAAAATTCATTTATAATATCAAGTAAATAACTAATAACATTGCTTCTGCATATTCTTCCTTATAAATACGTGTTGTTTTATGTATCGCTTCACATTTTCGCGAAATTCACGTACATCTATGTTTTGTTCAATTTGAAAATGTATTTAGTCGATACAAGCAAAGGTTTTTCTTTTTTGTAATTGAATAAATGAAATATCTGACGATAGTGGCTGATTTTCATCTAATGAAGATGAACGAACTGTAGTCATTACAATAGATTTTCAGTTTTTAATATTAGTAATCTGATTATTTAAATTGTTTTCTATCAACTATCAGTCATCATTGTTAATATTGATTATAATTTCAAGGTAATAAAATGATGAAAAAGTCAATAACAAACTATATTGGGTTAGAGTCGATGTTTACGCGACACATCATTTTTTGTTTTCGACATTTTCCTCTATTATGTTTAATCATTCGACATTTTTCTCGTTAGATATTTTTCCCCTTCTTTAATTAGTTTTCGGTCTTTCTACGACATACCTTATTCTTTATATCGAGAAAATATATTCGAATGAAATGGCGCATTATCGAACATACATTAAAAACATAGATTACTTAATAAATAAAAAATTATCAGTTAAATATTTCGTTGTTAATTTGCATACCATTTCTTACTATCATATTTTTCATTAGAATGAATAAGCTCCAATAATATTAGTTTGACTGATAAGAGAAAATTATACGCCTTTGTACAAGTCAAAACAAATTAAAAAAATTTTTGGGTACAACTATAATAAATCATATTGACATATGTATCATTGTAGAGAATTGACAATAAAAAAGAAATGAATTTGAATAGATTAAGTGAAGAGGCAGCTTCAAATGATAAAACCATCATCTATGAATAATCGGATCTTATTACTTTGTGTTGTATCACTTTCTTCTTTCCGACTATTAACTTATTTAAGGTATGAATTAAGCCTTTGAAATTTATAAAAATCGAAAAGATCTGATAACTCGGTATAGTTTTTATAAAAAAATAATTATTCTACGTCGTATTACTCATGTGTTATGTACGATTATTAGAATTAAATTGTGTCCAACTGATGTAAACAAACCCACATCAAAAGCAATTATAATTTTTATTTTAAAAATATAATTTTTCTTATCAAGAATAAATCAAATATCGCATTTACAAATTAAGGGAATTGAATGTACCTGATAATTAGAAGCTACTCAATCTCTTTATTAACATAAACTTGATAAAGTTCATCAATAATACTGAATAAAGACAATATATTGATAGGTGTAAACAATATCACATTTAAAAAAATATGTTTTTTTGCTACGCTTGATGGATTTCTCCAAGTAGTTATTTGCTAGTGGAGTACAGGTAATTATTGCATATTCAAAAAAAAAAGAACGAATCCACGTGAGGATAATTATGACGATCAATATGCACATATTTCTTCATATTTATTTGGTTGATATATAAACTGATTTTTTCTTATATACGTCATAGCGAAATACAAACGATACAATAATACAGGCATATGTCAGAAACGAACAAAATGTTTTTTGTCAAGCGTACCTGGTTTTTATATCTTTGTAATCAACACGAATGTATTTATTTATATGCCTTTTCACTATCGATAGAGATGCACTACAAACATAAATACATACATATATATATATATATTAGCTTTAAATTTTTAATTTAGATTTTCGATAAACGAGCAAATTGCCAATTAGATTTCTGTTATCATGACAGAAGAAAATCAAATACCATCGTCACCAATAATGATCAATAAATTTAATAAACAAAATTCTGTTGACGACGTTTTCACTTCCGATGATATTTGTGCGTCACCGATAATGATCAATCAAGCTAATAAACTTGCTATTAGACAGGATTCCATTGACCACGAGCTTTCTCCAGATGATATTAGTACTATGTTCGATGAATTTCTCGTTGAATTCGAACGAATGGAGAAAAGTGGTAATGCAACAACCACTGTATTTCTCGATGCTGTCGAACAAATAGCAGATGCTGTTCTAGGAATAATCCCACATAAATTACTTCATCCAAAGGTGCTTCAACATCCACTTACGGAATTTTTACATCAGATGCTTGTTGATATAATAGCTAATTGGAGATCATCTAATCAACGTCTAAATATTCAAGAAACAGATATATTTCTTAAGATTGTACTTGTTTTTGTACATGTTGCTGAAGCAGCACCTGCACCAAGTGCTGAACAAACGCGAAAATATATACGAGATATGTTAGCAACGAAAAGATTTTTGTTCTTAGTAGGGGAGCAAGTTGATGATATTGTTCTCAATAAACCAGATCTTAACGATGATCCAAATATATGTACATTGGGCATACTAACTATAAAATTATTACAAGGAGCTCCATTCTACTTTAGTATAGAAAAAAATCAACGTTTAATTGATGATTGTAAGTTTTTCTTTAGATATATTCATAAGATAATAATTACTAAACATTTATTTAATTTAGTGGTGATGAATTCTCTTGATTCCTATGATTTTATTCAAGCATTACGTCAATTACAACATGATCAACCACTTACTGATGTAGATCGTTTTCTTTTATATACTTGTTGGGAGTATGTACCATTCGCATCAGCAACTGCACTAACTTTACCTAACACGATGAAATTAATTAAAGTAGTTCAACATGTTTATGACCAACTTCTAACTCAATTAGAACAAGCTATGGAAAAACCACCACCAATGACCACGAAATCTTTAGCTTATATATTCGAACGGTATACTCAACTTCTCAATATTCCTAATTTTCATTCTTTTGATAAAAAAGCACAATATTTTGTCGATCGTTTAACTAAAATTTTAAAAGAACAAGTGTTAGCTAATCCACAAGATCAAGAATTAATTAATGTTACACTAGAAGCATTTCATAATCTATCCAAAAATACTGATATTCGTACAATCATGAAAAATCGTCAATTAACTTCACTCTTCCACAACTTTACATCTACTCAAAATATTGAAGAACGAAAATTAGCATTTAGTATTCTTGCAGAAATTATGGATGAAAAAGAAATAAATGAAAAACCAAATGAAATTACTAGTGTATTTATTGATCAACTCAAACAACTCAATCCAAATGAATACAATGCAAATATGGATAGTACTCTTTCAAGTCTCCAAGGTATCATTTTCTTTTTGATAACAAAAAAAGTATTGATCATATAAATTATTCTCATTCTATAGCATTAATGCAACATGAAGAAATCAAAAATCAATTTATTCAACAAAATGGTGCACAAGTATTAGTTTCTTTTATTCGTGATGGTGATCCAAACAAACAATCTGAAACACAGCTAGAGGATGCTCTTAAAATTCTTTGGTCAACTACATTCAATAATCCTCATATGGTAAACACACTGCAACAAGATGCAAAACTAATGACACGAGTTACTGAAATCTATAATAATGCAAAAGAAAAAGAAAATGTTACATTAGAAAAAGCAGCTGAAGGTTTGATTTGGAAGGTTGAAAAAGAAGAAAAATTTAAAGAAGAACAAGCAGCTGAAGTTGAACGAAAAAAAGAAGAGAAAAAGAAAAAAGCAAAAGAAAGTGGTGTAGTAGAGGAGGAAGAGGAAGAAGAAGAAGAACAATATGATATGATGTTATCATATTCATGGGCTGATATGGACTTAGCTCATCGTATTTTTCATCATTTGACTGAAAAACTAGGTTATAAAATATGGCTTGATCAAGAACAAATGCATGGATCGACAATTCAGGCAATGGTATGAAATAATAAATTTTATAATTACATGTTTATATAAACATTAGTATACTTTAGGCAAATGCAGTTGATAATGCTCAATTCATCCTTATGTGTATGTCAGACACATATAAACGAAGTGCAAATTGTCAATCAGAAGCTGAATATGCACATAATCGTAAAAAACATATTGTACCATGTAAAATGAAAAAAGATTATAACCCTGATGGATGGTTAGGTTTTATATTGGGTACACGATTGTATATTGATTTTGGAACATATGAATTTGAAAAAGCAATTGAATTACTTGATAATGAGATTCAATTACAGAAGAAAAAACGTAAAGCAGCAAAAGAAGTAGCAAGGTAATCAAAAATAAACAACATGTATTTGTATTAATTGTGTATGCTTCTTTCAGAGTTGAAAGAAAAGCTATTGCAGAGGAAAACGGTTCAAAAAATGAAAGAAAAGTATCACAAGCTCCACCTGAAATAAAACTGAAAAGAAGTTTGGGAAATGTATCAGATTGGGATGAAGTGAATGTTCGAGATTTCTTATTAAAAGAAAATCTTTTATCGATGATACCACTTTGTAATGGAATTAATGGCAAAGAATTAAATGATTTGTATGCAATGTGCAAATCAAATTCAGCATCAATGTATCGTTCATTAAAATTTGAACTTCTTCATGGACATCATAGAATATTACCAATCTCTACATTTCTTCGTTTTATGAGTCGTATGCGTTCCGCTTGTGATAATGGATTATCATCTAATACACCGACAGTAACCAAGATTAAAGAGGATCATATTCATGAAGATCCTATTCAAGAAGATCCTACTTCGGAGGAAGACTAAACTTATTTTCAAATGAGATTACTCATTTAAACATATTTTTTTTAAGTATTATTTTAATTTTTAATTAAAAAATTAATTGAACTAGGATGGATGATACACTTCATGTATCATATCTTTTTTAAATAGTGAAATAAAGTGTGTATTGACTATGAGTAAACGTTTTGTATTCTTCTGCTTGATAATGTCAGGCACGCTATTATTATCAAGTTTTTTATTATTATATGCATATTTTTATGAGATGCAACACAACAAGTAATCGATCTTCGTTTGATAAAGTGGTAAAACTGACAGTTTATTTTTTTGTCACTAATTAGTAAAAGAAAATAATGACAGGTTACCTTTAGCAAAACCGTCAAACAATGAAAAAGTTTGTCGTATATCCTATACGAATATTCAAATACGAGTAATATATTTGCATAGTTGCCCAATACATTTATTTTACATATGTATACAAACTACGCAAAAAAACATGAGAAAGGCTATTTTTAATACACATACAATGACAGAAAAAAATTGATACAAAAAATTTAAACAAGACAATATTGATCTGACAATGTTATTTTTTGTTTTATTTTATTCATCAGTATTATTAATGATGACTATCCGTTGTGCATAAACGTTTTGAACCATCATTTTGATGTTCATGATTTATAACTGTTGTATTTGTTAATTTCCTTTTATTAATCGACGACTGTAAAGCTTCTATTGATGACGAGTCATCATCATTGACGACATCGATAATTGCATCACTGTCATCCGGTGTCATAACTGTATGATTATTGTTATTTAATTTATTCTGATTACCATTGTTAAACATAGCATCCATGGCATCTCGAAGACATATATTAACATCTGGCATAACAGATAGATTTGTTCGAGCCTTAAATAAATATAAATTTTATTAAATAGAATTAAGACAAAATATTCTTAGACTATATGTGAAGTTATTGTCAAACACATCTATTTTGATAATGAAAACATACCATTAGAATAACTGAAATTCTGTATATGTTATCTAAAACCGAAAAAAAAAATACAAATTATTTCATTCATATTGATTACTAATAACTACTAATCATCATTCTTTTTAAGCAAAAAAAAACACAAAATAAAATATTCTATTAATTTGTGGCTTGACATGATGTGAGTAAACTATGAAGTGATGTTGCAAATGCTTAAAAATAAAAAATAAAACAAAATTTATTATTTCATATATGAATAATAAAAATGAACAATTACCTGTGGGATTTCGATAAAACGAACAATTTTGTGAACATGCCATTGGATCAGCATCCCAAATAGTTGAATGACATGAACATAATGTTGGTACATTAATACCACGTTTCGAACAACGTTCTCGCAATGTTGTTTTCAATGCTCGAATGTACCTGGAGAAAATCAAAATGAATCAGTGTATGCTAAATCAAAGGCGAATAAGGGATCTCTTAGACTCTGAATCAAATGTTATACTAAATATTTTAATGTACCGTTCGATTTCACGTCGTTTTTGTTCATGTATACGTTGTTTTCTAATATGAGCTAATTGTTTTGGATCAACACTATTTACATCGACGACAGATTGATCTACAAATTTAGCTAATAAATCGAAAAAAAAAGAAATATGTAAAGATTTAATAACCTGAAACAGTATGAGTTGTTGAAACTTGTCTTTGTGCTAGAGATTCTTCTTGATGCAAACGTTCAGCTTCTTTCAATTCAACAAGACTAAATAAAGAATCGATTAAAAATTAAGTCCAATTTTTATTTATTCTCTCTAACCGTTGCATTTCTTTATTTTGTTTATTTAAAAGTAAATTTTCTTTAACTTTTCGTCGTTCAATAGTCATAAATAAAGCACGTGTTGCTTGAAGACGTTTACGATTTTCAATATTTGTTAAACCATTAGTTAATGAATCTATATATTTAACAATATAATATAAAGAAGATAAATAATTTTTCGTCTTATTTACTAGTCAATGCTTTAAGTGCAAATGTTGAAAGATGATTTTCACTCATGGATCGCTGAAGTGTTGTTGCTAAACAATATAAATTTTTTATTTGAATTTTATTCAAAAAGAAAAATTACCTGATGAAGGTCGTGGTTGTTCATTTGTCCTTGGCTTTAGATAAGAAAATGAGATTAAATAATAATAATTGAAAACTATATTACTGTTATTATTGGTGCAGGATTAAGCCAAGTTCCAACAGGTTGTATATCATCGGTTGATGAAGTATCAGCTGATTGAATAAGTTGTTTTGATGCTAAACGTTGTTTACTATGACGAACACGGTTTGTCATTTCACATGGATGAAACGATGATGATGATGACGATGATTTTTCGAGAAGTGGAGTTGTAGCTCGTTGTGATAAAACAACAACTGTGTCACCTGATGTTGGTGGAGGTGGTAAAGCAACTGTTTCAATCTATTTTGAATAAATAGATATAAAATAAAAACTCGATGTATATATAGATATGATTCAATCATACAGTTTTATTCGTTGTTTGTCGCTGAACATGTTCTTGTGCTTCTCGATAAAGTCGAAGTCGATGACGAACAAAAGAATCAAGTTGTTCAACACGTTGGCGACGTTCATTCATATGCTGTTCGACAAAAGCTGAATATTGTTCAGCATTATGCTAGATAAATATGAAATTAATTCAAAATATTAAACATCAAGAAAATACTTACAGCAGCATCATTCAAAGACAACATTTTGAACAATTTATTTGACTATCACTTAGACAAGACTAAGCAAATGAGTAGAAACTTTGTTGGGATGACAACAATAATCGGAATAGAGAGAAGAGAGGTTGTTAAAATTAGCAAACACAATCAGGTGAAGATAGATGACGCTATTGTATATTGTTTTCTTTTCGTTAATAACTGAGTTAATATTTTTACTGTTACAAATATTGAAAGTACTTAATAGCTTATGTATCAGTTGACAATCTTTATGATTTCTTCTGTAGTTTTTAAAGATCCGATGAATATACTCTAAGTTCAACAAAAAATGTGTTAGAAAATGATAAAAGTTATTTAAATAAATAAAAAATATACCATTTTATTGAGCATCTTAATATGATTCTTACGAAAAAAAAATAAAGTCTGAAGGGTGTGGGTGTTGGGGACATTTCTTCTCGCCCACCCACACCCAAATTTTCTACGATGCTTACTTAGTGTGCCAAGAAAATAGATGGACATCCATCTAAATGATAAGCTCCCCCCTCTCCCTTTTTTTTGTATTTTATCACATGTAGTTTTTTCTTGTTCTGTTTCTTTCAATATTCTGTTGAATATATTTAGTCAGTCGTAAGATATACACAAATAAAGACGGTTAATTCAGCATAATAATATAAGAACTTATTCCGAATTGTAATTGGTATATATCCTGACGTGATCGTCAAATTGTAACGGAATTAAGATGTAATAGAATGTTGTTTCTTTATTTAGCTTGTGGTTCGGACTCTATTCCGTTTTCGAGTCCCCAATTACAATTCAGAATAAGTTCTTATATTATTATGCTGAATCAACCTTCTTTATTTGTGTATATCTTACGACTAACTAAATATATTCAATACAATATTCAAAGAAACAGAACAAGAGAAAACTGTATGTGATAAAATACAAAAAAAAAGGGAGAGGGGGGAGCTTATCATTTAGAAGGATGTCCATCTATTTTCTTGGCACACTAAGTAAGCATCGTGGAAATTTTCGTGACGCTAACTATTCCAGGGACTGAATGCATAGCGAACAGACAGACAAACAAACAAACCTTGGGTTTCTCCTTTATATATATACATAAAGAAAAAGAAATGATTTGAAAGATGTCTTTTGAGTGCTTTTTACTCTTTTTTTCTATTTTCAACTAGAAATTATTATTCATCTTCTAATAATATTATTTAAATTTGCTGCCCTTGACGAACGAAATAAACAGGGAGACGTTGTTGACTACCATGTATATAAATGCAAGCAGTCACTGTACATATTCGATTAGTTTTCAAACGCTTAAATAAATATGGCAACAAGAATTGAAAAAGGGTTTAGGGCAGCGGGAGATCAACAACATGAAGGTGAATTTAAACAAGAGTTTCTTGAAGCATATAGAAAACAATATGGTGAATCAAGTATAACAGCTGATCAAACTTGGGAATTATATACGTCTGCAAGAGAAAAACGGCGTGCAAAAAAAACGGAAGCTGGACAAGTTGGAGAACAACAACAAAAACAAATCTTTGAAGAATTACATACTGATTTTAAAAAAGATTATACAGCTGCTCATGGTAATAATAAGGTTAATGATGATCAAGCATGGGCGCTTGTTCAAGATATTATACGTAATAAACGAAAAAAATGGCCAAAACATTGACCTAGTCGTCGACATGGAGGAAGTCGTCCACCATCTAAAGATGATTAAGACATAAATTATAGTTTAGCATGTTTATATTTTCATTCTTCCTTTCTTTTTTTCTATAAACGTCTCTCCAGAATAAAAACCCACCCCGATTAGAATGCCAATATAAAAGTTATAATTTTCTGAATATAATATAAGCCCACCTAATCAGAAATGCATGTACAATGTGACAAAAGAAAACAAATTATTTTTTTGATACAATGAAATTCTTTTTAAGAATACAAGAACACAAGAGCCTTGCCTGGTTAGACATTTCTTGGCTCGACAGACCAGCTTCCGTCTACAAGAATATCATAAGAACGTTCAGATCTGGGTTCTCAGGTAAGAATGTTGCATAGAAGGAGTGGCAAAAGAATCTTGTCTGATTATTAAGAAAATCAAACGTCGACTAGTGACGGAGAGAGAGAAAGCAAAAAAAATAGAATTCACGGAAATAATTGTTTCTTTTTCTTTCCAGATTCTGTCGGTTAGAAAGTGTCACCTACACATTAGCATACCGAAGTAATTGCACCAACATAGGTAATACAAAGTTAGAAAGAAGAAATAAATAAAATAAAGCAGCGTGTTGGCTTCGTTATGTTTGGTTCGTTTTAATGTTGTAAACCGCTGCTTTTTCTAAGTTTTTCTTTCTTTCTCTGTTATATTTTACAACCGTGTTCTCAATAGTCACTAGGTAAAGTTTGTCTTCTCACGGCAACAAAATTACATCAATATTGTGTGTCAAAGAAAAATTGAGAAAAAAACAAATCGCTGCCTATATAAATTCATACTGTAATCTCTGTTTTTATTCGAACCACTACACCCATTTACAAGCTCACATTCATCGTCAGCTATAACTCACATCAATATGGCTGCACAGAAATCACAGGAAAATTCTAGCTCAACCTTCAGGTTAGGCGCATCTAATACAACTGCTGCAACAACAGCGCCAACAACATGTCAGAATATGGCTCAAAACTATCTGTTAGTTTGGGCAGATGCAAGTATCGATGAAACCAACAAGGACTGTCAAAATACGTTGACACAGTTACGAGCTGTGGTCAACGATATTACTATGTGCACTCAACCCAACGAATGTATCGAATTTTTCGATAAACTCAAGGACGAAACAAGTTTCCTCATCACATCGGGGTCCTTAGGGCAACATTTAGTTCCTGAAATTCATGGCATGCCAAAATTAGATGCCATTTACATATTTTGTGACAATATATCTTATCATCAACAATGGACTGAGAATTGGAAAAAGATCAAGGGTATTTATAACAATATCAAGGACATCTGTGACGCTTTAAAGGGAGGTGTCAAACAAGTCAATCAAGATTCAATTTCTGTTAGCTTTGTCGCAGCGAATGACGATGTATCCGCTGAAAACCTGAACCAATTGGAACCCAGTTATATGTACACACAAATATTCAAGGAAATTCTCCTTGGAATGGAGCATGACCACAAACAAGCGATCAATACCTTAACCATGTACTGGAGTAATCTGTATTCGAACAACATGATTCAACTGAATATTATTGATGAATTTAAACGTAATTATCATCCAGAAAAGGCAATTTTGTGGTATACACGTGAGTACTTTACCTATCAAATGCTCAATCAAGCACTTCGAACATTAGATGCCAATATAATTATTAACATGGGATTTTTTATTCGTGATCTTCATCAACAAATTAATCAACTATATGAGCAACAACTTCCAAACTATCAGGATAAGCCTTTTGTAGTTTACCGAGGACAAGGTTTGAAAAAAACTGATTTCGACAAACTCAAAAACACAAACGGTGGTCTCATGTCTTTTAACAACTTTTTATCCACCAGCAATGATCGAGGTATTTCCTTCATGTACGCCGACAGTGCTTCAGGACATGCTGACATGGTGGGAATACTTTTTACGATGACCATTGATCCTCGTGTTTCATCAACACCATTTGCCTCTGTTAAGCAGTTTAGCCGTTTCGAGGAAGAAGACGAAATACTCTTCTCCATGCACGCCGTGTTCCGAATAGGTGCAATTAAACAAATGGGCAATAATGATCAACTTTATCAGGTGGAACTTCAACTAACTGCTGATGATGACGAACAACTTCACCGACTTACTGAATGTATAAGCAAAGAGGTTATGAGTGCCACAGGATGGAAACGATTAAGTGTATTATTAGTCAAAACAGGTCATTTCGATAAGGCTGAGGAACTATACAAAGTACTACTTGAACAACCATCGAGTGAGAGTGATAAAGCACTATATTATAACAATCTTGGATGTATCAAAAATGATCAAGGTGATTATAAACAGGCTATTGAGTACTACGAAAAAGCACTTGGAGTTTGTGAAAAAACTCTTCCTGCAAATCTTCGCTCGTTGGCTACTTCGTACAGCAACATGGGTGGTGTGTATGGTTATATCGGAGAGTACTCGAAAGCACTTTCGTTTTACGAAAAAGCACTGGAAATTCGAGAAAAAATCCTCCCTGCAAATCATCCTGAGTCAGGTGCTTTCCACAATAACATTGGTTTGGTGTATTATAACATGGGAGAGTACTTGAAAGCACTTTCATTTTACGAAAAAGCACTTGGAATCTACAAGGAAAATCTTCCTGAAAATCATCCCGCGTTGTCTAGTTCCTACAACAACATTGGTAGTGTATATGATAACGTGGGAGAGTACTCGAAAGCACTCTCATTTTACGAAAAAGCACTTGGAATTCGAGAAAAAACTCTTCCTGCAAATCACCCTGACTTGGCTACTTCTTACAATAACATTGGCAGTGTGTATAATAACGTAGGAGAGTACTCAGAAGCACTTTTGTTTTACGAAAAAGCACTTGAAATCTATCAAAAAACTTTTCCCTCAGATCATCCTTTGGTGGCTAGTTCCTACAACAACATTGGTAATGTGCATGTTCACATGGGAGAGTACTCGCAAGCACTTTCATTTTACGAAAAAGTACTTGGAATTCAAGAAAAAACTCTTCCTACAAATCATCCCAAGTTAGCTACTTCCTACAACAACATTGGTCATACATATGATAAGATCGGAGAGTACTCGAAATCACTTACATTTCACGAAAAGGCACTTGGAATTCGAGAAAAAATTCTTCCTTCAAATCATCCTGATTTCTCGCAGTCATATACTAACCTCGGTGGTCTACATTATCACATGAAAGAATATTCAAAAGCACTCTTATATTTTGAACGCGCTTTGGAAATTGAACAACGTTCATTGCCTGCTAATCACTCCGATATAGAAAAGGTGAAAAAGAGTATTGAAATTGTAAAAAAGAAATTCTAATTTTTCCTTCTGAGTAAATAAAAGATTGTCTTCTTTACGTAAGAGGAAAACAAATGTATTTGTTTTATTTACTCAGTCGCACGTACAGAGAATATCTGCAAGTAATAAAAACGCAATGGACATAGCCGACCGGTAAGACAATATACATGTACATATATAAAAGATCTTCACAGATATGTTTACGCTTCATCCGTTAAATACGAGAATACTCTATAATTTAAAAAATAAGTATAATATAAGACGTCGTCGAATGCCATTGTAATAAACATATTGAAATGAATCTAAAAAAAGAGAAAAAATAAGAAAAGAATAACTTACTTTATTTAACTTGGATTGTATTGAACGAGGCCTAGAATGGTGAAGAAAAATATAAACATACGTAGTATATGTACATAGATTTATGTCTTAGAGATTACTTAATTGAATCAATCGAAAGATAACAAAATAGGTTTATTATCAAATCTTCTGATCTGTCATTTGAAATCGTTAAAACTGAGGTAATTTTGATCACGTTTAGGTTAAAATTATGTTGTTTTGCTGAGTTACTACTGATGTTTAGTGTTATTAATTGCATCTTTATATTTTTTGAAAAATAACCACACATGCTGTTATATAGATAAGAAAGTGACTAATTTATTTCAAATTCTTCTATTTAGTTTACTATTATATTCTGTACTACTAAAGGACTAAACTGATCTAGTAGGGCGTGGTTGAATGTGGATGAGAATATTCTTCTTATCTAGCATCCTCATCCTGATATCGAAACGCACACCCTGTCTCCTGAACATGGTGAATGTTTAGCGCGTCAACATGCTGTCACATTTTATAGAACACCGACCAAACTTAATATTAATATTATCACAATATCTTTTTGAGATGACTAAATTTATCATACTCGACGCTATAGGCGGAATGATGCAGGTGGGATTGACTGAAAAGTACGAGAGTAGAACGGTGATTCTCTTGGTCATCCCACTGAGATAAACAAGATAGTTCTTCGCCTTATCCTCAGAAAAAAGTAACATTCAATGTTTACATTGCATCAAAGATGCACGAAGTGCAGAAAAGGATTCGAAATATAACCGGTAAACGGCGCTTTTTATTAGCTATAAGCACTGCTTCTTGTTGCTTCCTTGCAAACTATACTATACATCCAATAATGACAGAAATGAAGTGAAGCTACACCAATATTTTGGAGAGTGAACGGGTGTGGGTGTGGGTGTGGGTGTGCATGTGGATGATTGAGGGCTTGCTTGAGAAGTACTTACAAAGAAAAAGAACACCCGCATCCACACCAATCCTGATTTCAAACAATGAAATGAAAAAATCACTAAATCATCGTGTTTCCTCTTAGTTTCGTCAAAGAAATTGAGAGTACCATGTTGAGATCTTCTGCGACATTCTTTTGATCGTCACACAAACACACAAACTAATCATTTTTTTCTCGTGTGACCCTCTCTACAATCGAAGGGTCAGACATAGAAGACTGTTGTGTTATGTAAATTGTAGATGTCTATGAAAAACGTGTTTTTATTTGTTAGTTTTGGCAATTACCGAATCATAGTCGTGATATGTGTGAAAAAGAATCCCAGTACATAAAACACCTCACACGAATCAATGTTTTGTATTGATGCAAAATACATAAATAAAAAAGATGATGATGAATAATAACATTATATACGTAATAACCAACATTGCAAATGCACTCTGATACAGAGTTTTATTACAAAAATCACCGTGCGTGGGAAAGTTGTGTTGCACATTGGGGTAGATGCGAAATGTGGTATGACTGATGATAAAGAAGTAGCAGGTAGCTACGAAACTTGCGAGAGTTAACCCTTAATATAAAATAACATGCATCTTTTTTGAACACATAGTTTGGTAGTAATATATCTTACCAGCGAACCACTTAAGATGGGATGTTTTCGTTGTTTCTACTTTCTGGCTTCCATCGCCATAGGTGGTTGTTGTTGTGACAATGTCAACCTTATCGTACCCTGATGCAAGTCGATGCAAGAAATACGTAAGAAATAGAAGAAGTAGAAATTCACAAGCTCCAGAACCAACAAGATTGCCTGCAATGTTTGCATAAATGGGACATAACACACTAGTTTGAGCTAGACCAGTGATAAATTTAACAATGGGTAGAATGAATGCAGGGGAAAATGCGCACAACAGCTTAACTCTCGAACCCATTCGGTTTTCTACAGAATGTAAGGAGGAGGCAGAACTGAAATCGTATTTGGTGAAATGATATTTACTTTGAAAATCTTATCGTAAGAAACTGTCGTAGCATTTGTCGTCTCACTGTTACTATGAAAAAACATGTTTTCTTCTTGTCTTATCGTTAACTTATATGTAGATCTCATGTAAATATTTACTCAAGGGTAGGTGAGTGTCGAGGTGTGGGTATCGATGTTATTATCTTTTCTCTGAATATATTTTCTTCAACACCCGCACCCATCCTCAAGATGGCTTTTTACTGTTCGTATTTTCGAGTTTTTTTTCTGTTGTTTTATTACCACTTGAAGAATATAAGTGACTGTGCATGTTGTTGTTGATGATTGATAAGAGACTTTTCGGCGACAAAATACGAAGTTATCAGTGAAAATTTCCGACTATGTTTTTCGTTGTAGAAGAAGGCATAGAACACGAGCTTTTTCTTTTAAAATTTCCAATTTGACTGACTGTAGAATAATTGAGGATTATTGAGGGTGAGTCTAGGTGCGATGTGGTGTCGGTGGCGGAGGGTGTGTATGGGTGTGGGTGTAGATGTGTGTCTAGTGGGCGTGGGTAGTTATGACTAGTATGATCTTTCTTCGCCTATAACTACACTCACCCGCACCCAACCTTAAGATGTGTGCGTGTAGCTGTGGATGTGAGTGGGAGTATTCTCTTTATCTAACTCCCTCATCCTGATATCTACAAGCTCACTCACCTATCCACAACAACACCCACACCCACCCTCAAAAGTTAAGATCAGTAGATTGATTTATATTTTAGATATAAGGGTTGATCTATTTAGCAATTGGCACTCACACCCACATCTAAACCCTCAACCGCACCTACACCCATTTATTTTTATTTTTACTTTTATAATTCAAGCACTTAAATTAATTTTTTAGTTAGTAGTATATTCATTTAAATCAGTTACTGGAAAATAAAAGTCGAGAGTAGTCGATTGAATCATCTTTTTTTATTAAAAGATAGGCCAGTTTGGTTTCCAGTTTATTATAATATTAGTTAAAGGATGAACAAATAGCATAGCAAATAGAGCTTTCTTTTATATTTCAGAACGCGTAGGAAAAAAACGTTTGTTCTAAAAGCTTTCTATATTGTTGTTAGATGTTACTGCTACTACATTCGGTAAGTTCATGAGGTTTTATTGAGGATAATAATTATGCGTTTCGATATAATGTTTTTTTAGATTTCTAATATTCATTAATGCTTGAACAAGAGGGTGATTGCTGTCTAATGCAGTAACTATCTTTTCAAATGCGGGACAAGCTAATAATGAAAAAGGTGGTAAATGTTCTGCTAAAATATTTTCGTCAGTTGTACCAAGCTGATAATCTTTGTTTTCGTTTAGAAATCTTGATAATTTTCTTATAATTCTTGCATTTCTGATGGTTTGTTTGTCTGATCTTGCCATAAGTCTCGAATAATAGATAAAGGTTAGTCGAAAACCTGATAATGCGCCAATTACATACGGTAAGACTGGATCGTTTTTATCTTTTTCTGTGAGATAGCCTCTCAAATAAGTAGATCCTTTTTTTTCCACAATACCGTAATCCATTTCAACGAGCTGTGTGTAACCGCAGCAAACATTGGGATTTACGTAATTGAAAAATAAATCTATTAATCGCCAACGCATGGTCACATTTCTGTACTGGTAACACCATCCCAGAAAAATTCCAAAAAATGAATACTTTCCTACACAAATCATGTGAGGTTTCCTGTCAAATATTATATCATCAGAAGTTCCTTTGGGAGACACTTTCATTATTCCGTGGTCAGGTGACCATATTTCTGTTTTGTTTTCTAAAAATTTATCCAATGATTGTTTCATCTCGTCCTTGAACTTTACAATTTCATCATAAATATCTTTGGATTCATCAGGCTTTGCATATTTGTACAACTCTTTATTCTCAACATAAGTATACCAAAATTTATTGAATTCTTCAGGTAATGGAGAAAACTTGTAATATTTGTTTAAGTATTCATTTGCAATTCTTTCTGTTTCAGGTGTTTTGATAATATCACATTGAATATCTATATCTCCATATATATTTTCGGCCAAAGATAAAATTTTCTGGTCATTTTGTTCTAACAAGAAGTCATAACTGGCGTTCGCTACAGAACCTATCACGTAAGGTACATTGATCCAAGCCCCTATAGGTTTTACGTATGCTTTACGTATCTGTTCATTTTCACCAGGTGGAATATATTCTCTTTCAACCTTTGATATATTTGATCCATCTGGTTGTAATGTGCTTCTTATATAAAAGTGTTTATTAGTTAAATGTGAGTCTTCCAAATGTTCACATTTTATGTCCATTTTCATCTTCTTTAAACCAAATATAATTTCGGGTAACATATACAAACCCTTGAGAACTAATGTTGTACAGTTCGGAGTTAATATTTTATAGCCTAACTTATGTTGAGGTTCTATATCATCCGCGAATTGCATTGGATACGGTGCGGTTTCATCGTGTTTCGCTACACTATTAGGACTTTCTTTCGAGGATACATTGTGAGTGCGCTTATTAGCATATAAAATGCAACTCCAACAGCATTTATTTGTATGTATCGCGACGTTAATCATATTGTTTAAGTATAGATATTCTGAGAAATTTGCAGCTTCACACATGGTTTCAGTTGTCGTAAATTTTGAAACGATTTTGCACCCGCGATAAACTGCATACGTTTCCATTTTATTGTGTGAGTTCTACTTTTGGAAATCTGGAATATATTTTCAAGTTTTCGTAATTATGTGAAACACTACTCAGATTATCTAAGATGGGTGTGGGTGTAAGTAAAGCATTACGATATACTCACACTCTTATACTCTTGTCTCATTTTCGAATGTTCTGTTGAAAATGTAGAAAAGGAATCCTCATAATAGGATTATCAAATTAATCAATGTTCGATTCGAGCAAGAAGGTGAACAGGTGACACGAGCAAATGAGTAATTGATTTCCTATCGCTTAGTCAGTCAACATATAACGTATGCCAATATCGATTTCATCTCCACCGTAAAAAAAGTTTTTTATGAAACACGATTTAACTCAAATACTTCAGAAGATGGCAAGAAATCTAATCCCTTATTCATCGATCTGGCAGACAAAGTCACAAAATCGAAGTATACTACAATTAAATTGTAAATCACGATTAAAATTATACAGCGAAAAAGTTGAAATGCATGCTTCTCGTAATTTTACTTCCTTCTTGACGTGCAAGTGTCTGATATGATATGTGAGATAGAACTTGGGAACAAAATGCTTATTGTTCTTATTGGTTTTCATTTCTTGTGATATATTACAATCGCCATCTTCTTCTATCATGGATACAAACTGATAGTGAATAGTAACTGATCAAAGAAATTGTCTCAACACGTGTTATAGAACTACTAGAACCTGACAGTATTTGTAATCAAAGATGAGTGTTATATTTCAATGCAGTGGATATGAACCATTTTCTGCGAATAATAATATTAAGTTGTGCTCTTTCATTGCAACGAATTGATTTGTTTGCTTAGAATACCGAAAAGATATGTAAACTTTTTACTATGAAGTCATCTAGCATCATTTCATTCACCTATGCTATTTTTACAGACTCACCTCAATCTTCTCTGGTTTCGCTTGAAAAAGTAGTGAGTTGTTCGATCAACATAACTTTATATATGCACCACCATAAAAAACACTAAAATCGCTTCTTCGCGGAAAAAACGTAGTTCGGCAGCGTCGCCTACCGTTAAATATTGTTGCTGTATTAGATTAATTTTATTTTCGCGTTCTGTTTGCATCGATAAAAGAAACATTCGTTCGATACTCCAACATCGCTTTGTTTACATAGGACGCTGGCAAGAATGATGCTATTGATGCAGAAAACATAAAATTCATTAGAAAGTTGTCGTAGTGACTATTTTCACCGAAAGATGCAAGTCTGTCTTGTTTTCGAGCGAGTGGGAATCAGTTATAAAACAAGATTACGAAGCATAATATGATAGAATACACTACTGTATTTCTACTGATGGTTATTCTCGACAAATACTAGTGATTGCTTGAAAGGGTGAGTGTTGGTGATTGTTTTCTCTTTACTCACACCCACATCCTCAAGATAAATTGTTAATTTTTTCAACTAATAAATATTTTATTTCTTCATTAAAACATCTCACTTTATTTGTCATCGCATGCTAGTACAATCCTGTAAAAAAGTGAATTTAGCAAAAGGCTTTTGAGAAAAAAATATCGTAACAATAAAGTAATACCAGTTTAGGAACAAATATTACACTAAAAATGAATTCATGAGATCTTGATTTTTATCTTCATTTATAACGAACGTTTTAAACTTTGTAAGTAATATTTGAATATTTGAACGATCTCCAATAGATAAAAAGCATATAGAAGTATATTTCTGGCCTGATACAGTACAAATGGAAAAACTAACAACATTAAATTAAAAGAGAAAATATTTCTTTGAATACATTGTACTTAGTACCATAGTACTACAGAAATGTACTAAGTATTCAAAATTTTTAAGGACTTAGTACACAAAGAACTAAGTACTGTATTAAGTAACCAATCAGTGGAAGAGAGTCGAGTGTGAATCCAAAAGCTCGCACACTAAATTCGCACAGACGTCCTTGATGACAGTGTGGACATAAGCAGATGAAGTCTTGAGAATTTATCGGATCTCCCTTTATACATTTTCCACCTGACAAACAAAAGTTACAGCGGTCTATTGCGGGATCATATATGAAACACATGGCGCGGGCGTTATCTGCTTGGCAAAGACAAAAATAAGTGCTGTCGTAAAAACACAAGCGATGTTTATCATTAAGGCAAATATGATGATACTTGAAGAGGGCAGGCACTTTTGACGTGTTATCTGAAGGCAGAAAGAGTGTATGAGTGAAAATTTCGTTCAAAATGCAAATAACTTACTTCTAGGCAGTAGTGATATGGCATTCGGACATAATTGAGGCGTTGAAGTGAGATTGATAAGTGCTCTATTCCATTGAACGTAGAGCACGTAGTATTGAGGGTCTGAGAAACCTTCATAAGTTTTTAGTAGACTTAGAAACGGAGCCTTTTCTTGGTCATGATAATAACGAATGGTTAGCGGTAGTCCAATAGTGATCATCTGATGTCGTAGTTTGAGTGTAGACTGCGAAAACTGGCCTAAGTCATAAAACTGAACGACACTAACATTTGGTGCTAAAGTCATGTTCACATCAATTGCAACCGCGACTTTCTCATATTGACATCGATCACCATAGAACTGTTTTGAGCATTGACAAACGATTGGTTTTTCGCCACTTGGATCGTATGTTAAATGACAAGTTCCATTCAAGCCACAAGGATCTGATTTGCATGCTTCATTTCGTATATGACAACTAGGACCAACATGATCGAGAGAACATATGCATAAGGGATTATCTGGATTCTTGATCAGACCACGTTGACCAGGTCGACAAATGGAATCTGATGAACAATATGAAGAACATTTTTGTTCATATACAGTGCAGTTCACATCTGTGTAACCTGATCTACACGAACAATAGAACTTTCCTTCTTCGTTTAGAATAGGCTTACAGATAGAATTTGCACTACATGGCTTTTGAGCGCATGGATCGAGGGTGGAGTTTCCAAACCGAGAAGGAAATTTCAGCACCGTTGCGAGACGAAAGGCTGGAAGATAATCAAAATAGATTAGGTATCGAAACGATCCTAACTCGACAGTGTCATTACTTTGGAGCGCATAAACATCAAAATGTACCGAATAAGGATGATCATTAATAACATCCGTACTGTTCAAGTAACGTCGCCGTTTATGCTCTAACATCGTTACTGAACGAGAATAGAGAAGATAAAAACGTTGTTTGACATATTTTTTTGTTTCTAATATTGGATTTACATGAAAAACATGATGATCGATATATTTTGTTTGGCGAAACACTAAGCTTGCAACAATCTTGAATAGACTTGAAGAAAGTGGTAGCGTAGGAGTGAAGGTACTTAGATCGAGATGCGTGATGATAGTAAGGCGGTCTGAGAAAAATTGGCAATGACTACCGTAGTAGGCAGGTGGGCAAAGACACGACACGTTAGTCTTAAAGCTTATAGCGATGCCTCGATTGCAGCTAAATAACCGCCAATCAAGTGTAACATCTTGTTTTTGTTGATATTCACGCGTATGAACCATTGTAGTAAGCCGATATTTAGTTTCTGTAACTGTTGATATTGACTTTTTATGTTGCTGAATTGTAAGAATAACTGCTGGAAACATTGGTAGTGGGGAGACGATTGTCCTCTGTTTACTTAGTCGATAGAATGATCTGCGTACCAAATTATTATAGTATGGATGACACCAGTATTCATCTTCACCATGCAGACATTGTTTGATCCCATCGCATCGTGCATTCTTGACACACGTTTCATTCAGACAAATCACATCGTCCTTGCCAGAACAGGTTGCATTTTTGCTTTTGTACGAGCAGAGTAACGAATTTGAACACTTTTTATTAGTTTCACAAGCAACCGTATTTTGATCGCAATAATTATCACATCGTAATGTGTATCCGAGCATATTTCAATCACAATCTTCTACTGTATTTTTTTCGTCCACAGCTCCGTAGCAATTGGCAATTCCGTCACCAATCTGAGTGAGATTGATGCATGGCCGATAAGTATAAATATCCAGTGGGTTGGGAACCGACGCTAAATAACACGGATACTCTGCTGATAAATTGCACAAATCTGAGAAAGGCATCTTCGACTGAGAGTATCTACGAATGCATTCTTGCTTTTGTTCGTCTAAATTTGGTAGACGTTGGTTATGCGAAGACCATTGTTCGATCAAAACTATCGCTTCTTCGTCGGATCCATCACTACAATCCCATTCTCCATCGCATACCCAGATCTGACTAATACATTGACCAGATAGGCATCGGTACTCTTGAACATCGCAAATCCATTCTTGACATAAATCTGGATTTTCGTCCAAATACGATAAGTCATTCCAGAAACTGTCACAATAATAACTGTATGGAGTGACTAATACATTCTGCATAGTGTTGTTTGCCATATCGATCTCTAATGTTGAATTCGGATTAGATGAATTACCAATATAATATCTCAGGAAAAGTCATCCACTATCGTCTTCTCTTCGGCAAGAAATGAATCCCACTTGTTTAGTGCTGCCTGCGACGAACATGTCATTTTTGTTTTCACAGTGGGATTCTGTTGTGCCAAGGCTCGACGAAGCTAGACAATTCATTTCTTCAGCTGAACACTGAAAACGATTTTTTCGAATGTTGAAACAATAATTTGTCTGTTTAAGTACTTGAAAGTTCTCGTCTTGATTATCTGCACAATCTTGATGGCCATCCGTAATGCGATATTGCGAGATGCATTCATGTGAAACTGTACAAATATCATAAAATGCGTATGAACGGTTGTTAAAAGTTCGCGTATCATTCCAACAATTTACTGGATATTGAAGGGCCGACTTGGTTTCCGTTAATGCATTGGGCAAATGAGAAGCTGAACAGAAAAGAGTATCACTCTTGCGCAAAATCACTAGTGCCGATCCGTAGTTCTG